ATTAACTGATACTTTGCTAAGGCATGTAATTCAACTTTTCGCACTTCAGAGAAACCAGTTGAGAGACTAGTAGCAAGTCCTTGATCAGTGAACAGCAGGGACAGACAATGGCCTTCTGATATGATAATGCCGGTGTGCCAGACGTACTGCCACGATGTCTGATGCTGGAGTTTTAGTGTGATTTGACCCATCGTGCTAAGAGTTGTTCATTCACAGAGCGTAACACCTAAGTATCTTTATAAAGTAATCGCAACACCTAAATCCACTGCAGAAAGGAAATAAGGAAAGTTTCCAGTGTATGATTTTCTCCCTTGCACATGGTGGACGATTTTTGCACCATTGTCGTGCTGGAGTTTGTCATGCAGTGCTCATCTTTCTTTCTATGCCATTAGCCAGCCATTGTTCCGTTTTATACCTGTTCTACTTCTGTTTTAAAGGGAAACAAAGCTGTACTTGTTTCTCGACATCAGTATATTGAAAGGCAAGGCCCTATAAGGTCTTGGACTTAGCATCTTTTTACTTTTGGTCCAATGTTGTATGGACGGAACAATTGATGCGTCTCCTGTCGATGAATACAGCAGTACGATTTTTAAGTTATGTATGTATGTATAAGTTAGCAAGACAACAAATGTAAATAGGTAAATATTTTGAGGAATGAGCCAGATGAAGCCGACGATTCATTTTCTCATTTTTTGGTCTATTCTAATGTTTCATGAGGAGGTTTCCTTTTCAACGTAAGTTCTTGTGTGACATTCGTTCACTTATTACCATAGTTTGCTGTTATTTTCGGATTCCAGCAGCGTTCCACGCTCAACTGATTAGTCTAGCATTTTGCTAAAAATTGGTAACCTACGCTTTTGATTCTGTTCAGTCAGAAGTGTTACATCGAAGTTTAGTTTATTTTATTAACTAGCTTTCTCGTTTAGAGATGTGTATTGTGGCCTGTTGCAGTGCCAGCACAAGAACGAAAAGACGGTGTTGGGCAGCAAGACGATCGTTGAACTTGGCTACTCAATTCGAAGCACGATCATGTGCCAGACGGCGATGATCGACCTGGGCTACGACCACGACGATCCTGGTTTCGTGCCGAATGGAGCGTCGTGTGGTGATGATCTGGTGCTTATTTTTTTGGAAATTTTTTTGTTTGGTTACGCTCAACGTTTTCAGGTTTGCGTCCATCAACAGTGCATTCCTCTGAAAACGCTCTTTTCGAACAACTCGTGCGCCAGCAATTGCAACTTCAGAGGGGTAAGTTGAGTTTCACTTTTTTGGTTCACGAACCTGTGGTGTAGTCACTTTCATTTTTATCCCAACTACAACTTTGTACAGTATTCTTGTTCTTTATAAGACCAAACGTGTGTCTTAGTTAATTGGTATAAGCAGATATAAGCTTTCTGTCTGTTTGGGATTTGTCGATTTCGTAAGGTCTTTCGACTTTATCTACGTCCGCCTTGTACTGTATCCCTTAAGGGGCTAGGGAAGCAAGGAAAGGTACAGAAACCTCATCGTCTTGATTTACAAAAATGCAACCACAAGTGTAATGATGACGAAATTAGAACTGCATGATAGCATCTGACAGTGATATACGTCGGTGATGCGATATCACAGAAGTT